ATTTTTCTATTTTTCATTGTCCAGAAAGGGAAGGCAAAGGAATAGCAGAGATTCTGCGAAAGGAATACTGGAATAAGGATTAATTATGTTGTCCAATATTGACTTTGGGAGTTATTTTCACACCAAAAAATATGAAAAGGGACTTTCTACTGGGGGGGACAAAATTGCCGACTGGGGGGGCAGTAAGGGGGGCTGGGGAGGGCCATGTCCCCCCCAGTCTTTATGTTAAAAGAGGCCCTGATTTCAGAATCTTTGTTAAAAAGTTGTTTATTGCACATAATGCTTTGCGTGATTCGCATACTCTTATAAATGATCTCACCACAAAAACTCTGGTGTTCGCGAAATGTAAACTCATTACACTTGCTACTAACCTTATTTTGTTAATTAGCTATTTTTTGTTTAATATATGTATGTCGGGGGATAGTCAAAGTAGGCAGGGGGGGTGACAAAAAAGGAGATGGTGAGATGGTGGTTTATAAAAGCTACATGGCATTAGAGAGAAAAGAGAATAGGTGATTGATCCCCCTTCACCGTTCTTATGCCTATTGTATATTTCTGATAATATAATGTTAGACACTTGAAAGTTTTATATAAAACTTTCAATTTCTAAATCAAATGATACAGGGAACTTAGAGGACAATGGCAATAATTTATTTTTTTCCTGATATTGGTAAAACTGGACCCCCTGATTGCGAATATGCTATTAGTTTTCATCAAAAATGTTTTGTTCTCGAGTTATTTCACCGTAAATATTCAGTACGTCCGCCATCTTGGATCGATTTTCAAAAAAATTATCTTTTGGGTCACATGACCTGTGTGACGTCAAGAGCAGGGTAGAATCAAAACAACAAATATATTTTATTAGGCGCATATTGCGACTTCGTACTTCTAGTGAGAAATTTGGCGCTTTTTGATTACTCGGATGGAAAATATCCATGATATCAAGTAGATAAGGTATTATCTTATCAATTTGAACCTAAACTGGGCTTACAAACAAGCGATAGCGGTGACGAGAGCGACTCCGAAGAACAGGCCGAACAGAGTGAATCATCTGACGAGGAAATCACCATGTGTTTGAGGTCGAAAATGCTTGGCGCATTGCACATTGAAGCCAAAGGATACTGAATTGTTTTGTTGCCACGATAAAGCATTAGAATACGATGAATAAGATATATGATTGAAGGAGGCTGAAACACAAGTGCTTGACTGCTTTTACAAGTGCAGAATTCAAAGCGAACATGCTGTCGGAAGGGCTATTAAATAGACGTTTGTCGCTATCTTGAAGATATTAAACTGGCCTCTGGATGACAAAGATTTGGACAAGATACACAAAATTTATAGACTAGTAGCTTACCAACGATGTTCGCGTTGGGTATTTCAGATTTTGGGGAATAAGAACAGAAGGCCATTCCTGCGTCCCGTGCGTGCATGTGTTTACACAATAATAGACAATTCCCATTATATAGAGTAATTTAAAACTAGGCAAGGAGATGCAAATAAATCACCACAGCTATAGAAAGAGCATACTAAAATGAGTAAAATTGCAAAGTTTAGTTGCGAAATGTTGTAAAATGCGGAACATATAGCCTTGCCATGCAAAGTTCGCAAATTTTGTATACTTTTGTATTGCGTGCGGAAATTGCTACATTTTCGGTCAAATGTGGTAGTAATTTCCGCACGCAATACAAAAGTATACAAAATTTGCTACGTTTTCCGCATTTTACAACATTTCGCAACCAAGCTTTGCAATGTTACTCATTTTAGTATGCTCTTTCTAGCTGTGGTGATTTATTTTCCTTGCCTAGTTTTAAAATTAGTCTATAATGGGAATTGTGTATTCGAGAGCGGTTTGGGGCTTTGAGATTGTTTGAATGTTCATTTATTCAAATTTGGCTAAATCTATGCTCTTTTAATAATAACTCTAGTATGTGCCGATTACATGAAGCATTTTCAAGCCTGGGGATAAACTCGTTTACTGTTGACAGCGTTGGAATTTGTTCAATAAAGTAGTCCTCGGGTGCTCGAAACAGGTTTGAAATTTAATTTTTAACCTGAGCTCGTTTTTTAACTCAGCCCTTTGGCTGAATTTTTTTGTTTAATAAGAGCTTCATAAAAAGACAGGGCTGCCATTTCTGCCTAGTATTAAAACAAGGCTGAGTCAAAATCCAAGGTTGAAGATGCTCTAATTCCTCCGATGCAATCAGCTTTATTATATTAATGTGCAGCATGCAACCCCAATTTCCTACCACAAATGTTATTATAATTTGCAATTGTCCTATTATCTAATAAAGTGCAGTGGTGTATATATTAATGCTTTATTAAAATTTAGTTTATAAACAAAGTTGTTCTCTCATTATTTATATCACAAAAACATCAAAACGATTTTTACACGCGAATTGCAAAGAATCAAAACATATTCTCAGTCATTAATAGTGTTTATTTATGCGATATTGTTCCTGTTGATGTGGTCATAGCCGTGATCACCGAGAACAGTAAATATAAAAGTCTACAAAGTAGGCGAGCATATTGTCATATTGACATAGTACCAGACTATGCCTATGGTAATCATTTATAATCAAAGCGCTTTTACCGCCGAAATCAACAAGTTTATTTTAAAAACACAGCTGAAACACACAGTAGAGTAGTAGCGCTACATTTTTACGCAGTTATACAAAAAAATTTGGAGTTTATCCGCACTTTTTGGTCAAAATCTTCGTAGAATGTGTTCGCACGCATACTATTTTATATTGACAATATTTGTTTCCCCTGCTCTTGACGTCACAAATTTATTCTCACATAAATTAGCATACCAGGTTTTTTTCAAGATGGCGGACGACTGTCGAAAGTTTTATGATATTTCTAAACAACTAAACGCGATAGACAAGTGAAAATACGTAATTAAGTATTCCGTAGGTATGTTTAATAGATTTCGAGAATAAAAATTTTTATTGCCATTGTCCTTTAAGAAAATGAAGCCTGCTAACAAATGTCAACGAGTTCCATGACTCATTGCTTCACTTCCCAGGGGCTACCTTCACCAAGATGGAAAGAAAACGTGTAAAGAGATAGCAAATATGCAAAACTACATCTACATATTCCAAGGCCAGTATTTGTAGGCACATGAAACGCTAAATCGACGACTCTGTTATCGACAAGAGAAAACAAAACAAAAGCCGCCCTCAAAAGCTAACAAAACGAGACAAACGCAACATATTGCGACAGTCGAGATACTACGAAGGGATTACGGGTATTTACAACAACACGACTCAACGTTTTTGCTGGCGTACCAACACATGTTTCAGATGATAGTGCATTTAGACGCGTCGTTAGAGCAAATTGATTCAAATACACTCATTCGCGTAGAAAGGGGGTGTCTAGCAGAAAGAATTTGATAATTAGACTCGAGTTCGCAAAGCGAGTTCGCAACAGATTAAATCCAAATGTGTGGACACGTTCTATTTGGACGGAGTTGGCTTGACTCACAAACATAAACCTTACGATCAGTCGTTATTGGCACCGAGAACGATGGCCTGGAGGAAACCCTCAGATGGTTTTATAACAAACATACTTGCAGGTTTGGTGAGTCCCGGATTGGACGTACAGAGGGTGGCTGAAGGTTTCCCGAACTCACCGAGCGAAGCCAGGTGAGTTCGGAAAACTTCTAGGCATCCGAGGACCGAGGTGCGTCCAATCCTCGACTCACCCGACCTGCAAGTATGTTTGGTTTTCATCCCATACACATTGTAGCTCTTTGCGATATATTCGTCGATGTCTGGTCAACATTTGCTCGGCCAAAAATTCACTGGGCCCTTAATACTTCGTAATCTACGTCTAGACTACCTTTATTGCATTTTATCTTTGTTTTTTTTCCCGTCTCAGTATGTTAGTCACCGAAAAATGTTCTTTATAAAGTTTAGGTTTATCGGCTAAATCTTGTCCGCCATTGTTATTTTTATTGCAACGCAAGCAGTTCCGCAGGCGAGTTCGACGAAAGGCAGGTAAGCTTGAGAAAAGCTCACCTGCTCTAAACCAATCAGAAAGCCGCTTTTAACACAGGTATAGGATAATAGCTATAATCAATCGTCAAAAGGATCGCAAGAAGGCAGTAGGGGAAGAACAGCGTTTCTTTTTGTTGCGATAGCACATAATAAAGGAGTTATCTTTGGTGAACAATACGAAGGACACTTGACATAAATTTGCAAATTTTGTCCGAGAACAATTTCCGACTCTCTTTGAAAACAGCTGCAACAAGATAGGCAAGCTCTTGTAGCAAGATGGCGATCCTAGCCAAAACAGCCGAAAAGCTAAACTAGCAATGTCTGCTGTTGGCGCGAGAAAGTTTACTATTCCTACATGCTCGCAGTCCAGACTTGAATCCCATTGAAAACGTTTTTCATAATGCATGTTAAGTGGCAATTGCATGAAATATATAACTCCAAGAAAATATCAGTGCATCCATACACACAAGCTAATGTTATTGGCCACCACTCTTAAGGACGTTTTCTTGACAAGTCGCTTGTTTCGTCTGTCGCTCGAGGCTGACGACTTTGCATGACATTGTTCATATCTTCAATCCAGTGCACATTATGATCAAGACAAACATACCACCATTCGATTCAGTAAAAGAATATCAACTAATTCCTAAAGATAGTTTTAGTAACTATGAACATTGAGACGATTTATTTTATGACCTTTAAAAGTTAAGCAAGATCGTATATTATCAAATTACTCAATCATCCGAACAAAAATATAGACTAACCATACCTCGATAAAAGCGCCGAACATAACTTCGGCTGCATGCTTGAGATGTATTTTCTTCGCAATAGCCTTGTTCTAACAAATATCGAAAACGCTATTCACAGTGTTAATTTCAAGCTTTTATCTTCACCAAACTTGCATCTGTTAATTACGGGAACCACTCAGTATTTTAATAAAATACAAAATAACAGTAACTCCGAATAACATTTTGACTTTTAATCGACGTTCGATTTGGAGTTACTGTAGTAGTAGGAGATGGCGGGTTCTAGAACAGTAGGATAATTAGGGATAATGAGGGATAATTTTGGTCCACTAGGATAATGAGGGATAATAAGGGATAATTTTGGTCAAAATCAATTAATCCCTGCGCACCACCTACGCGACCCGATGACGTCACTTCCGGTTTACCGCAGTCAGGCTTGCCCGGACTTGCCCAAAACTATGACGTCACTTCCGGGTTATTGGATCACGTGACCTATGACGTCACCAGCCCACCACAAACCCCGCCACCCCCGCCTTGGGAAGTCTTGCCGAAGTCTTACCTAAGCCTACCCAAAGCCTACCCAAAGCCTACCCAAAGCTTACCCAAAGCCTACCCAAAGCCTACCCAAAGCCTACCCAAAGCCTACCCAAAGTCTCCCCTAAGCCTACCCAAAAACCCCACCACACATGCGCAAACCCCACCACCCCCCGCCTTGGAAAGTCTTCAATAAGATAGATAGATAGATAGATAGATAGATAGATAGATAGATAGATAGATAGATAGATAGATAGATAGATAGATAGATAGATAGATAGATAGATCGTAGATAGATAGATAGATTCGATATATTCGATCGTAGATAGATAAATAGATTCGATAGATAGATAGATAGATTCGTAGCTGTATAAATTTTTCAGTTCGGCATGATCTATTGGAAAACCTGTGTATTTCAGTTAATAAACCTAGAGCCAAGCCTTTTCTTATTACCACTTGGTACAGGCCTCCTAATTCGCCTGTAGCAATGTTTAATTATTTTGAAATTCTTCTAGGTATGCTCGATTCCGAAAATATCGAGTATTACCTCATGGGCGACTTCAACTGTGATTTGAGCTCTACAGTCTTAGATCATGATACGAAGTCACTCATGGATATTGCCGATTAATATAATCTTTCTCAGCTTATAAATGAACCTACTCGAATCACAGACTCCTCCTCAACATTGTTAGATCATATTTTCACAAATACTCCTGACAAGGTTGTTTGCTCTGGTGTTTCTCATGTGAGTATAAGCGATCATAGTCTTATTTACGCCTTTCGCAACCTTTCTGTGGGTTCATCGACGGGGGTACATTCTTCAATAAACTACAGAAAGTTTAAAAACTTTGATTCTACTAAATTTCGTAATGATATTAGTCAACAGAGTTGGAACTATATCAATCAGTACGAAAACCCTAATGACATGTGGCATGCTTGGAAAGCCACATTCAATTCTGTCGCAGATAAGCACGCCCCAATTCGAGCTAAGCGTTAAGGCTATTAAATCGCCTTGGATCACATCTCTTTTGAAAGATAAAATGCATAGGCGAGATGTCCTAAAAATTAAAGCAATTCGTTCCAACGATACTCAAGATTGGCTTTCTTTTAAGAAAATGCGTAATTTTGTTAATTCTGAAATCTTCTACGCAAAGCAAGCCTATTTCAAAAATTCTTTCAATGATAATAAAGACAATCCTAATAAGACCTGGAAGATTATTAATGAACTTACTTCTAAAAATAGGAAAAGCCCTCACATTGGCGAGGTTGATTTGAATGGCGTATTAATTAATGACCCTAGCAAAATTGCTGATGCGTTTAACGATCACTTTTCAAACATCGGACCAGACCTTGCAGATAAAATTAATCTTAATTATAGCAATCGGTCTTATCTTGATTATTTACCTAACCAAAATAATGCTATTTTTCAACTGAGAGAAATAAGTATTCCAACCGTTTACGCATTACTGTCCACGTTAAGCACTTCTAAAGCAACAGGTTTAGACAAAATATCTTCTAGGTTAATTAGAGAATGCTCTGACTTAATTGCAGAATCCCTCTGTCTTATTTTTAATCGTTCTATCACTACAGGCATATTCCCAAACGAATGGAAATGTGCTAAAGTTATTCCTCTATACAAACAAGGCAAACGCAATTGCGTTGATAACTATCGTCCCATTTCTATTGTTCCTATTGTGGCTAAGGTTTTTGAAAGGGTAATTTATGATCAGCTATATACATTTATAGCTGAAAATGAATTATTAACTAATTATCAATCGGGATTTCGAGGCTTACATTCTACTGTCACCTCTCTTCTTGAGGCTACCAACGAATGGGCTTATAATATTGACAGTGGTAATGTAAATGCTGTAATGTTTCTTGATCTTAAAAAAGCGTTCGACACTGTAGATCATGAAATATTGCTGAACAAACTTAATGCATATGGAATCAAGGGAACTGCGGGTAACTGGTTAGATCGTATCTAAATGAACGTAATCAAAAGTGTTTTGTTAACGGTCATTTCTCCTCGAATCGATTACTACAATGTGGGGTTCCTCAGGGAACTATATTAGGCCCGCTTTTATTTTTAATCTATATTAATGATCTTCCTAATTGTCTAATACACTCTCGGGCACGAATGTTTGCTGATGACACTAATTTGACATATGCAAGTAATAACATACATGAAAATAATCATAATCTTAACGAGGATCTTGCTAGTGTCAGTGAATGGTTATCAGCAAACAAACTTACTTTAAACCA